GAGGAGGAGGAGGAGGAAGAGGAGGAGGTGGAGGAGGAGGAGGAGGAGGAGGAGGAGGAGGAGGAGGAGCAGGAGCAGGAGCAGGAGCAGGAGCAGGAGCAGTGGATGTGCTTTCCCCGCGTGCCTGAGAGCCTCCAGGCGCAATACGTGCTGCCAAGCTGGTCCTCCTCGAAAAGCTGGCGGAGGCAGGGACGGCTGCCGAGCGGCTTCACGCGTGGAAGGCCCTTATGATGCTGGATGGGTTCCTTTTGTGGAAAGGCTTCCGGAGAGGAGGAAAAGGCAGAGGAGGAATTCGGCAGAACGCGAGCGAGCGCGCCATCGCCGAGAGGCTTGCCCTGTTCTGGGCCGGCCAGTGGGCGGCCTTGGCTCGACCGGCGCAGGAAACCATTCGACCAGCGCGCCGGAGGAGAGGGCCCGTGCCACCTGAGCGCATTCGGGAACTCGTGGATGACGGTGCGTGGCGGCTCCTGGCAGCGCTACGCGGCGGCGCCCCCATGCTGGACTCCCCGGACGTCGCCGATGACCTCCGCCGCCTCCTCCCCCAGTAGAGCACTGCCGACAACGCCGCGAGGACCGCCTCCGCGGTGGACATCTAGGACGACGACTTCCAAAAGGCCGTTGCGCAAGAGCTGCGCGAAGCCAGCCCTCACGCAGCAGCCGGGCGAGACGGAAGCCGGGCGACGCACTGGCAAGTCGGGTCAGGAGATGCGCATGTCGAGCGCCTGCTGGCCAGCACCCTGAAACACTGGCTCGACGGGGAGGCCCCGGCGGAGCTCGACGACATCTTCTCGCGTCAAACCTTGTTCGTCCTGCGGAAGAGCAACGGCGGCGTTCTGCCTATCGCAGTCGGCGCGTTCCTCGGGAGGCTTGCACTACGAGCCCTACTCCGGTGCAAGCGGCAGGAGGTGCAGGACACCGTCAGCTCCATGCAGTTCGCGCTTGGGCGCGCTGGCGGCGCCGACGCGGCGTTCAAGGCGCTCAACGTGGCCGCGGCGTCCGGAAACTGCAAGGCCGTGCTCAGCCTGGACATCAAGAACGCCTACGGCACCGTCCGCCGGAGGGCCGCTCAGGAGGCCGTTTGGGCTCGCGCGCCTTGGATGAGCTCCTTGATTGACCGCCTGCTCACCGCCACGACCCGGAACGCCTACGACACAGCCGACGGCGACACGATCTGGGTCGAGCAGGGCACTGGCGTGCCGCAAGGGTGCCCGCTCAGCACGTTCCTCTTTGCGTGTCCCTGGCTGGCGTGTTGGAAGACACCAGGGAGGTGCTGCATCGGCGAGGCCTAGTGGCGTACGCGGACGACTTGTACATCGTGGGGCCGGCTGCTAACCTCGCGGCGTCGCACGACGTGCTGGCTACGGAGCTCGCACGGGTGGGCTTGCAGTTCGCGCCGGAAAAAACGAAAGTTTGGTTGGCTTCTCCCGAGGCAGCGCAAACCCTCCCGGCGACGCTGCATCACGCTGTGGTGCCCGACCTTCCCGTGTTAGGGTGCACTCTCTACCACCACGACCGCGAGGGCGACTTGGCGGCAGGGTTTGGCAACTCCGAGCAGGGAATGCAGAAGGCGGCGGCGCTGGTGCGCGCTACGGCCGCCACGCTCAAGGACGCCCGAAAGCGCGGGCTCTGCTGCCAGGTCGCGGGCGCGATTCTGCGGTACGTCACAGTCGGCGCCCCTCAGCACCTGCTCCGCTCGCGCCTTTGGAGCGAACCCGCACTCGCGGCCTACGGCACTGCCGTCGCGGACGCTTGGGCCGAGCTGATCGGCGTCCACTTGACCCCGGAGCAGACCGCGATCGGCAACCTGCCGCTTCGCGACGGCGGCGTCGCCTT